CGTTTTTTTGGACCTGGGTAGTTGATCAAAAGAACAATTTGATGCCATTTTGATCACATAACGAATACTAGTTCATATCGAAAAACTTATAAGAATACATTTTGCGATGGAATTCCAAGGAACACAGGAAATTCACCGTATACGGCAGTCGTAAACCGCCGTATTTCGTCGTAATACAACCGCCGTATACGGCTGTTGTATATCGCCGTATATTGCCGTATACGGTCGTTTACGACCGTGTCTATTGGACCTGGGTATGCGTTTATTGTTTTTTGCATTTGATGTATGATCTCCCATGCAAAATATCATACATGAAAATATCTAGATATTTTATCGTTGTATTCGGTAGGCATTTGGTAGGTTCCTAAACAATTTCCTGTGTTTCTTAGGGTCCTATATGATGCAGGGTTATCCATTTAGTTTGCAGATAGTCAAACGCTTTAATTGATGTAAATAAAAGTTCTTATGTTAATTTATCAAAAGCTTAAAAACTCTTTTAAACTAATTATATAATCTATCTTACCGAATTCTTATCAGAATCTTATAAGATTTTGATATTCCTTCTGATAAGAATCTTATCAATATCTTACGCATTTCCATCGACGGCCTTATATAAGATTCTTATAAGATTTCTATAGAATTGTTAAGTTCGGTCGCCTAGAGCGGTACAGACATCCTGCTTTCTGTAATATATTGGTCTACTATTGCTCAACATATTGACTTGATATGAATAAAAACTTTGTAAATTTATGGAGTATATGTGTTACACATGTAAGTGCTGTGGCTGCGATACAAAAAGATGAATAATTCTACTGTCGATATATCGATTAATATACTGGGCAACCTAGATGTATTGGGTATGGTACTGGGTTATCTAGGTATATTGACTACTGTATTGGGTTAGCTAGCTTGTGTTGCCTAATACTCAATACTTTCTTTTCACAATCGATTGAGTATGAATCCACCTTTTTTCATGAGGGGGATGGTCACGAGGGTGGCAACAATGTTTAGATTAAAAAGGCGCCTGAAAGTATTTGTCATTAAACTGTTTTTCTGAGTGTAGGCGCTTGACTCACTATAACATCAATTATTATTCATTTTCTTTTTCTTTTTCCTTACCTTATAAACGCAATTTTTCACCTTTACGAATGTGGCTTTGTATAGTCCGTAATATATTGCTCGAGGCAGAATTGCTCACTTTACATTGTCTAGTGCAAAATGAAATAGGGTGAATATATTTATACTCTCAAATATGTTAAAAAATGAAACATGAAAAAAAGAACGCTGACACTTTACTCACAATATTCTGTTCCTCACTTACCCAATCTTCAAATAATGATGCCTTAGATAGTAGTGACTATGCTACGAGTGCAGCCATGTCTCTGTTTTTTTCTTCTTTTAGAAAGCACAATGCTGTGAATGTATCATTCCTCCAAATGACCTACCAACGCGATACATTTATTGCTTTGTTTGCTGAGAGAGTAAAGACACTTTTCTTTCTCGCTATTTTGAAAAAGAAAAGAGATAGCGAGAGTGCTCGAGTAGTATAATGTTCTCGAAAGTCGGAAACTTTTTCAGACTGCTACTTCATTAAGATCAGATAGTTTTATTATTCTTCTTTCTCTAGATAAAAAAATCAACAAACAAATGTCAACATTATCTGCCGTACGGAATCAAACTCAAGAATGGAATTGTTCTCAGTGTTCCTATTTGAATTTACCATCTTTCTATCCGAAATGTAAAATCTGTTTGACAGATAATAATGAGGTGAAGAGTAAACCTTTGACACCAACAGCAGTCTGCCCGATATGTACAAAGCAACCGGTGAGCAGTAGACAAGTCGTTTTGAGAAGGAGAAATGAACATTTTATCTATCTCAGTCTAGTTCATTCTCTAGGTGGAAAACGGTCAACTAGCGTGTTCTCACTGTGAGAACGAACATATATTAATTAATTTAACAACAACCTCGAACAGTAATCAAAATCCAACAGCATTTAATCGTTCATTATCCTCGAAGTACACATCACTTGCAGTGAGAGAACGTGAGAAGAACGATGAAATTGACGCTGAGACAAGATACAAACAGATTGTGCAACAATGTCGACAGGTACTGTCTGCCTTTTCTTAGATTTAGAATAGCCTGTATTTTTGCTTTGTTTATTTATTGTCTACAGGGCAAATTTCATTTTGTTGACGATTCATTCGCACCCATACCATGTTCAATTGGCAGTGAACGTTTGAATCAACGAGTTTCACAGTGGTTGAGAATACGTCAGATTCGGGCGATTTCAAATGAAGACTCACGTTTACAGTGGTCTGTTATGAACGATCCTAAACCGTCTGACATTCACCAGGGACAGATAGGTGATTGCTGGTACTGAATCTTTGTTTGTTTATTTATTTCTCTCTAGGGGAAAAGAGGAGAATTGTTTGGTCACATACTTCTTTTTGTCGTTCACAGGTTAATGGCAGCCTTACCACTGATCACTGAACGCCCACAGATGTTAAATCATATTTTGTTGACAAAAGAAATCAATGAGGAAGGAATTTACTTAGTTAGGATCTGTAAAGACGGTCTTTGGCAAACGATTCTGTTGGACGATTGTTTTCCTTGTACAGAGTATGGAACACTGGCATTTACACAGGTTTGAAGACGAAGGCAAAAATCAAAATAAAGTGAAAAAACATTGTATTCGGTTCTATTCTTGTAGGCTAAACGAAGACAGTTGTATGTTCCTTTGATTGAAAAAGTAAGAGTTATAATTTCTGCTTGTTTCTTTTTTATTTAAAATCACTCGCATCATCTTTCGTACTTCTAGGCCTGTGCAAAACTGTTCGGTTCCTATTCAGAATTAACCGGAGGTTCCACAGCTGAAGGATTGCAGTTGTTAACTGGTGCGCCATGCAATGAAATTCATTTAAATCGAACTGATGACAAACACGCTGGCGATAATGATCACACGGACGTTGATTTAATTTGGGTGAAACTGTTTAGTTCCTGCGAAGCTGGGTATGTAAGAATTAAATGAACTCTCCTTCTCGTACTACTTTCTCGGAAGTTCAAAAGCACTTAAAGAGACGAATTTTTTACCCTTTAAACATGAATTCTTCGAAAAATGTTTTCATAACTGTAGGCGTAAAGCAAATAATCTTTTCACTCATTTTTCCCAAATGATCTTTTGCTAAGCCTTAAGCCAAAATAAAAAGAATAAATGATAAACGGAAAAAAGGACTATATGAAAACGCACCGCCAAATAGGTTGATTTGCACGTTGAACTAAGAAGTACACCATTCTCGTTTTACTTCGTTTCTTTCTTCTCGTTTTCGTTCGTTTCTTCGTTAACTTTTCGTTCATTTAACTAGCCGCTACGGAGTTATGAATATCAGTCAGAAATTGCATAACAGAGGTTAGAAAACTTAAACTGTATTTCAAGACGTATGCTTTTCCCACAGGCTTCCTCTACAAAGAATGAGGCGCGTGAAAATAATCTCTGTTATTTTGTCAATAAATGCGAACTTTCAAGGTCTTAGTACACAAGTTCCTAATCATTGCTTTTCTTACCTTCCTTCTTTCTTTTATCTGGTTCTCTAGCCTGCTCATCGGTGCCTCCACCGGTCGTTCAGACATTTCTGAAGACGAATACCAATCAGCTAAAATACACAGTAATCATGCATTCTCTGTTCTTCGCACCCATCAACTGTCGGCAGAAGAACGTTTCCTTCTCATTCGTGATCCTCACGCTCACACAACCTACACCGACAGTCACATCACAAAAGACACACTCATGCTTTTGCAGCACGTTCAAAAAACAAACTCTGGATCATTCTGGGTGTCGTGGCGAATGTTTCTCAAATACTTCTTAACGATCACTATCTCTCAATACCGTCCCGACAACTTTGATGTACGTCACGTGGGCCAGTTCACCACTGCAGCTAATCAACCGGTTCAGGTTTACTATTTCTACTTAAATCAAACGACATTACTTAATATCAGTCTCATTCATCATCAATCAACATATATGAGACATACACACACACAGTTATTTCTTCTGTGCGATATTAATCAGCAGACGGGAGAAATTGGAGGACAGATTGCCGTCATTCGAAGTCGACATGGAGAATTCGTCTGTTGGGATGATTCGTTGAGACAGGGATTTTATCTGTTGATACCGTTTTCAACAAGTTTCTGGCAAGTTGATAATGATCAGAATAAACAGTCGCAATCACTGAACTATACACTGGTTATTCATTCATCAAATCAACTTGAGTTAACCGTTGTTGAAGAACCTGTGACTGTCCTGTCACATGCACTGATACAAGTTATGTTGAAGAATTCAAATTGTGCTGCACGGGTGAGCGTGAATGACGAAGCTTTTTAAGAGTGCGCTTTCTGGAAACAAAATACACTTTCAGCTAAAAGGAAACTGAGTTATCTGTTGGCTTGTCCTAAAGCTTTGATCTTGTTTTGTTTACCGATGGCAGGCATCAACTTGGTAGCTCAAGACACCTTTAGTTGTTTAAAAAATTGTGGAAAATTTTCAAACTGCCATAATTGTGGTCAAATTCCAATTTTGAAAGTTATTTGCTCTTACTCGACAGCAGCCGTTACTTTTTAGAAGAAACCAGTAAAAATTGACAGAGTAAAAGAAGTGAAACTGTATCGATCTAAAAGGGTGCTGGGAATAAGTTCAACAAAAATGTCTCTGTCTCTCGCGCTTTTTTGTTTACGTAACGTTATCTCAACTTACCTCTCTCATTTTACCATTTACTTTCTGGCGTCTCACAGAGCAACAGAAAAAAGTAAAAGAGTTTGGTTAGTCAACGAATTATTTTCAGATATTTTAGATCAGTTTTCATTTTGAAAGTGTTTATGAAACGAAGAGTAAAGATAACTACTAATAAATAATTAATTTTTGTATTTGCAAACTTTCGTTCAATACTGTGCGCTTCATCAGACAAAGATTGTTTACATTAAATTAAACAAAAAGACATTTAGATACATATACAAAGAAATGAAAGATTTTGCTACCTACTGCTCGATTAGTTCACAAATAATATTCTATTGTCGCAAAATCAACTTTTTATTCGCTGAACAGAATCGGTCCAAATTTTTTTTCTGACTAACTTATTGAATAAATATATGAGCAGCAAAGTATCTCTTTATTCAAATCACTTTTCGGATTTTGGCCCTGACTACGGCATCAGCGTATAAAAAGTCACTTTTACGATTATGGTTTCGTGGCGTTATTCATGATATGGATAAAAAAACTACTATTTTGTATGAGATATCATTAAAAACCAGATGTTTAAATCTCTTAGTTATCAGAGTCTCTTTAATTTCTCGTTTACGTGCATTATTATCATAAGCTAATACATTAATACTAATACGCATCGCTCTAATTACTAATGATGTAATTAATCCTATTTGATTAATTACATCATTAGTAATTAGATCAATGCGTATATATTCAAATAAACAACTACTCAATATTGAATTATTATTTTTAAAATATATATTATTAATAATGGATATCAGAGACCGAATCGGATCTTAGGTGAATGATCCGAACCCGATCCAACCCAAACGTTTTCCATCCGAACTTGATCCAACCTGATAATTTTTCCAAACCTGACCCGAACGACCAGAAATTTTTTCTTCTTAGATGACCTAATAATTTTTTTTGAAGAAAGAGCAGAAGTCTGTAGCTTTTGTAATAGCGTAAAATGTTTCTCAGATTTTTTCCAAGTGGTGGTTCATTCAAATTGTGATAATGCGAAACAGAAAATTGTTTTTCTCGATCGTATATTGTCATACAGTTTAATCATCATAATGTGACGCATATTTAAGTCATTCGTTTCTTTGGATTTACTTATGTTTTTTTTTCTTTCTTTGCTTCAACAGTGTACATTACACAGCGTCAAAGCAAAAAACACTATACTTCTTTTTACGATAAAAAGACGCTTGTTGGAAAATAGATGAGTGCACCGTGATTGAAGAAAATCCCCCCTCCCCTGTTTTCTAGTGGCAAGACCCGAATAAAATCCGAATTTTGTTTCCTGTAACCCGACCCGTTTCGGTCTCTGATGGCTATCCAAGTAGAATAATTGATAAAACACTAAAATATGCTGTATGTAGAGAAAATGAAAAAGAACAAAACAGCAATCAGACAGTCATAAAAAATCTACTACATTGGTAAGGAGTGATGAAAATAAAATATTACACTTAACATTCAATTATTTGGATTATAAATCATTTATGTTCTGTCGAAAATTAACACATATATTCAAATAATTATAAATTAAAAATAGAATTATATTTAGAAAACATCGAACAATCGGTCAACAATTTATTAAATAAATGAAAAGTTATGATTCAAAAAAGACTGATGTTATATATGGTATTGAGTGTAATACATGGGAACTCTATATTTGGTCAAAATGGAAAAACGATAGATGAAAGGATTGAGAAATAACTGAACTATTCATAAAATAGATGTAGCATCAAAACTTGTGCAACAAGTTAAAGAATTAAAATATCAAATGAAGTTTAATGAACCTAATGTATTAGCTTATGATAATAATGCATGTAAACGAGAAATTAAAGAGACTCTGATAACTAAGAGATTTAAACATCTGGTTTTAATGACATCTCATACAAAACAGTAGTTTTTTTTATCCATATCACGAATAACGCCACAAAACGGAATATTATTTGTGAACCGAGTAAGTAGTAAGCAAAATCTTTTATTTCTCTGTATATGCATCTAAATGTCTTTTGTTTAATTCAATGTAAACAACTTTTGCCTGATGATGGTCACAGTATTGAACAAAAGTTTGCAAATATAAAAAATGAACTATTTATTAGTAATTATCTTTATCCTTTAGATATTTTGCAATAGAAGTTTTAAGGAGATGCTTACACATAGGGAAATAAACTACGGTACAAAATTTATCACTGTGTGCTACAATCTGGTTTGTGACATTATAATCTGTTCGCTTCCTTTCTTTGTGCGTTTAGGAACGTGATTTAAAAATCTATGTCACAGATCATTTGGAATGCGTCATATTAATGGCTGAAAATTCTTCATCGTCTCAGTATTTAAACTTTAACATTGATATGGAGGTAGGTGTGGTTCTCCTTTCCTTCAAAGATTTAACAGTAGCAGAACACTTCTTAAAGTTTGTTTATCTTTCTGTTTATTTTTGTTAAAAGAAAGCCCGACGAGTGCACAATTCACGTAATTCCTTGATCTCAGTCGATTCAATTCCACCACAACATCGGCAAATTCTGTTTCTAACTGAGTGGAAGAATAGCACCGGTGAATCGGCTAGTATGAAATATGCTTATACGTATCAACATAGTCCAAGTAAAACAGAAACTATACCTGAACTATTATCGCCTAGTGATTTTCATCAACCACGTTCAATGAACTCGTTCTTCTCCTCGTTGCTGAACACAAGCTGGTATGACAGTTCGATATCTACGTTTCAATGAGAAGAAAGAATATTCTTTGAGCAGACAACTTTCAGACTGTGATATCTATATATGTTGACACTCTATTTTGTGTATTTGAGCTTTCTTTTCGAGTGACTTTCTTTTTTTGTAATTGTTTGTGCAGTTAAACGAGTCATCTATGCAGTACGCACTTAAATACTATGCTTGGGCGAATTTTTGTGGACTCATTTTTGACGACGAAAACATATTTAAGTAAAGAAAATGATTGTTTCATCAAATCAAACAGTTAGCATCTAAAGTGCACTCGAAGCCAAGGTAATGTTTTACAGTTATCAAACTTGTAGTTATATAGTTGGAAGTGATCGCATGCGGATAAAAGCAAATTTTCCACCACAAAATTACTATCTCCACCGGCTTCGTTATACAGTTTCACCTAAATGTGATTGGGGAAATAATATGGAGGATATTCTGCGTTATTTTTTGCACTGTTCTCTATATAATAGTCAACGACAAGATCTTTCACAAAAACTTTCTTTTATGCCTACATTCTCAGTTGACATCTTGTTACTGAATGGTTTAAACTTTGATCATGATACTTTAACATGTTGACTGGAGACAGTCCTCTTGTATATTCAACAAACGAACAGATTTGAATAACTGCAGACATAGTAATTTTCAATTTCTAATTTTTATGATATTCATCCTTTCTTTGTCGTCTGGCCTGTCTTCTTAGTTTTTTATATTGCTACTCTTTTGTTAATCTTATTCATAATTACCTTTCTGTGAGCACCTACGGACAACATCTTTTTATTGTTAGGTCTATAATGGCCTTTGACCGCTGATCTTTTTATCAGAATCAATAAAGATATACAACAACAAAAGAAATAAAAGTCATGCGAAACTTAGGGTTGGTTGAAGGTTGAAAATAGAAAAAAACATTTAAGTCAATAAAACTCATAGCACTTTTATACCTGTAAAACAAATCAAATCAGCATTTTTTTATTTTAATGTGATCTTTGTTATATATAGCAGAGTGTCCAAAACTATGAATAGAATATTCTTATTGTGCATATTCCAGAGTAAACACTTGAAATTCCTTTTTTATCATTTGTTTGTCTACTTGAAAACATAATCGATGTTTCTTTTCAGAATTCAGTGTGACTCAGGAAGAGACTAAACAAAAATGAAATAAAATATTATTTATAACATTATGAAGTGATTAAGTTTAGAATAATTTTATAACAATACGTATACTCATATACATCTTTATCTCTTTCAGCGAGTTGTGGCTGATGTTCCGATGTAACGTAGTACATTCCGACTTTCAAATGAATGTGTGTGACGTTCTAATTAAAAGATATTTTAAAAAACAAATACTTTTTAGCTTAATTTTTTTCAAGCACGACTCTAAAATATAAATGGGATATAAAGTATATTTTGTACTACAGACTTTATTCTTCGCTTTACAATGGAATTTTAGATCCAAAGTAGTATCAAAAGGTAGACCTCCGTACCGATTTATTAAATATGCGTTTTCTTTTTTCGAAACTCAACGGGCTACAAAGATATAAGGAGTCAAAGTGTCATATAAACTGTGACTCCCTTTCCGGAAGCTAGGTTTCAAGACATTTCTCAAATTTTATTATTTTTGATTTTCAACTAAAAAAATATTATTTTCTTGATTTTTCGTTTTGTTTTTATTCGTTCGAACCATGGTTATCAGGCTCGGGAGTATCGTGCTATCACAAGTGCCGACTTTCTCCAGACAAGCTTCGATCACTGATAGAGAACCAAGGTTTTCCCTAAATAATCAGGAAGATCCCTTTGAAAGATTTTTTCGTTGCACACGTGTCTCTTTATTTTTGATGCTCTATCTGTGATAAAAATTTCAGCTCACGAGGAATGATCCCCAACTGATAAATC